ACGGGCCCCCAGGCTCCTGAAGTGGAGGCAGAGGGCAGGCGGCAGAAACCTCTCAGCCTCGAGGAAACGGGGCTCGCGGGGTCCGTCCTAGGCGCTGGGACGTCCTGGGCGAGGGCTGGCGAGCGGTCAGCTCCGACCCAAAGCAAGGCGCCCCAAATGCTTCAGCGCCCACCAGTCGTTAAGGTGGGTTCACAGGCAGATCTGATAACTTAGTGGAAGAGAAACCCACCGGCTTATTGCTTATTATAGAAACCTCCTCCAGCGCAGAAAGGCCCCAAGCTGCAAACTAGGCAGCCAGCAAGGTAATCGGAGGAAGAAGCATCTCATCTTGCGGTCTGACCTGGTCCGGGGATGTGTGGCATGTCCCTCGCATGGGGAGCCCTGCTGATTTACACCAGCCCCAGCGTAAACTGGTTGCTTGCCCAGCGTCGGTCCCCCCGTGCCGCCGGGTGCTCCGCGCAAGCGAGCGGGAGCAGGCACGCTCCTCGCTGCTCCAACTTCTCCACCGAAAACCCGCTCGTCTTCAGTGAACCCTCTCCGTCCCGTGCCTCGTTCCTGGGCACCGCCAGCAGCTGGCACAGCTTAAGTTTTTTTTTTTTTTCTTCCAGTGAAGACGACAATCACAAGGCCAGGAAAAAAAGCAGGCAGATCTTATATAACTGCAAATCCACGCCTGGCTCCTCGCACACATATATTATTTGCAATGTCTTAGATAACTCGGGCTTAAATATTTCAAGCAAGCGGCTCCCTTGCCATTATTCTCTTCCGCCTCACTGGGCCACTCGACATGAAAGCCTGAGATCAAGAAGGGGGCGAGGAGCGGCAACGACCAAGAATTGATAATGGCATAAATATTTATCGAGCGCATTCCCATTTCGCTCTCCTAGCAGTCCTGAGGGACAGGGCAAAACAGTCCTTGCATACGTGGAGAAACCAAACAGGCAAGTGATCTGGCCCATGAGAGATGCCAGAGGATGCAGTGAAGGTCCAAGCAGTCTGGTGGGATGGATGTGAGCTGTGCGGTTCAGTACCTGACCTAGGGGCCATCAGTGCCACGAGGAGGCGGCAGATCCTACCTCAGGGCACATCTCGACTGGGGACTGCCTGCCAGGGGGTACAGAGGAAGCCACAGCTCGAGCTGGGTCAGAAAACCAGTGGGCAGTTCCTAAGTAAAATATGTCTCATGAGCCAACCTCTGCATCCAGAAACACCTAAATGCAGCTCGCTGTAGTCTGGGAGAGAAACGTCCGGCCAGGTTTGTCTCGGTCCTGTGTCTTCTCTTCCCTCCTCCCAGGAAAAATAAGATCCTGAAGTACAACAGCTTTGGACTGGCCTGGTGCAGCCCTTGGTATGGGTAAAGGGGTGACAGCAGCTAGGCAGAGATGCGCTAACAGGGTCAGGCAATTCGCCCAGACCTTTGTCCACCTTCCCAGCCAGCACAGCCACCCACAGCACCATGCAAAGACTTCTGGGTTGCTTCAGATCAGGACTTAGAAAGATGACGTGGCAGAACTGTATTAAATGCGCACCGGTTCAAGTCACCCTGAAGGGGTACTCAATAATTCAATCCTTAAAAAAAAATTAAGGGCAGCATTTCTCAAAGCTTTGCTAGAGCTGGAGCGCTGACCAATCCTGAGATAACAGATGATGGTGCCACTAAGGTTACGCACAGCGAGAGATGTCAAAGCTCGCAGGAAGACAAAGATGGTTGAAGAGCGGATGACAGCAGCACCAGGAGAGTTTGGCTTTCACTGCCACTGGTTTCTTCCTCCTGCTGGACTCCATCCCTCAATTTCTCCATCCAGAAACCTAGCTCTGGGCTCTTGGATGCGTATGCAGCCAAATAACCACAGCCCATTTTTAGGCAGAGGTTCCCAAGCTCAGGAGCAGAAGACAGCCACGCTAGTCCTTGGCCACTAGCGACACCTCACACCCCAGCACCCAGCATGGCAAGCAGCTCCTCCAAGCTGCAGCACAGGCAGGGAAGGCAGCTGGTGGTGACGCCAGAGGTGGAGGTGTCTCCATTTGCATGCCACAACTGTCCCCTCTTCCCCATGTGTCGCGCATCAGGATAACGCAGCAGCGCAGGAGAAGTTGTGCTATGCCTGGCTGTGGCAAGGCCACGCTCCTGCCTGTGTCTGAGCAAACTCCTTGCTCCATCCAACTTCCTAGCACCATGAGGGTAAGCAGGCTCCAAGGAAATGTACCCAGCAGCTAAGAGGAGTTTATATAACAGCAGAGACAGGGTTGTTCCCAGGAGAAAGAGGCCATGTTCCTTAAAACTGCTCTGTAGAAATGCCCACAGGGCCTTGGAAATGCTTTCTGAGGGATCTGGATCACACCCGTTGTTGGCCATGAGGAGATCTCGGCTTGTAAAGCCAAGAAGATGCACCACCCCGAGGAACGGTGTTTCATGCCTCTTTCAGGGAATTCAGCCATTCCCCTCTACCATCCCAAGAGGTCATGGGAAGCCCATGCCTAGCTCACACCATCCTCCTGCTCTGTGATCAGCTATCTCAGGTCTTGTGGACTACATGCAAGATGCAGGACTTCAGGAGGGACATGGCCACAAAGAGGAGGTGGTGGCGGCTGCGGCAACTGGGAGAAGATGGACAGCAGGACAGGTGGAGAACTCACCAAGGGGATGACAGCATATGAAGTCTTTAGAGCCACACAAGATCCTGATCTATGAAGGCCAGAGACCCTCCTTAGGAAGTCACATCCCTTGGACATGTCCCACATCAGGCAAGTCACTAACACCATACACCCTGGTTTAGGCAAGAAGGACCTTTAGCAAGACAGAGACAAGCAAGACCAATTTAAAGCGTGGCGGAATTTTCCACCACGCTACTCAAATGCATCTCTGTGGATTGGTCCTGATGTGGGATTTACTCAGTCTAGCCCTTGAAATATGTGATGCATAAAACCAATTCTCATCCTCAGCACAGTTCATCCCAAGTTCAACTCAAAAAAGAGTTAAACCCAACCTTCATGCCGGGAGAAGGACAGCGCATCCTGGAAAACACCCAGACCTCACTCACAAAACGGGACCAAGTCATTACCAAGAGCACAAGATGCTCAGGGACTATTTTAGGTGGCCCATCTGTCACTGGAAGAGGCCAGGCTCTCCACTAGCCGAGGAACAGGAGGCAACAGGATGGGAGACAGCACCTCACAGGAGAGGACACAGCTCGTGGGAGCAGCCTTGCTCAGCAGGCTGCTGCTCCACTCCTCCAGGAGCTGCACAGGCACTGGGAACGCAGGCCAGAGCAAGCACGGTCATCTCCTCGTTTTTGCTTCATCACACCAGTTTGCCAGCCCAGTCCTGGATTTCTAGCAGGGACAATTTTCTCCAGCTGTAACATTAAATCTGCATTAGGCTTAGTCATGAATACCTCAAGTTACTAGCTCTCAGCTGGCCTGCAGAGGCTGCCAGCCTCTGCGAGCACCAGGTTAAGCCTCAGAGATCAGATGGAGGCTTCAGCTAATCCATTTTGCACCGACGTTTTCCACCGCTATGAGCCAGTGCATGGGGCGAGCAGCGCAGCAGCTCTGACGCCTGCTAACTCGTTAAGTAGCTGCAACTTGATTGTGTTGGTGTCTCGGTGCATGGTTCAGAGACAGCCGCCAGCAGATGAATATGATGGCCATGGACAACGCAAGCGCAACTGCAAGGCAGCCTCTCCGTCACAGGCCTTGCGGGACCGTGAGCATCGCACACCCCAGGGGCTGGTTCGAGCCCAGAGCAACTCCCGACCGCGGCGGCTGCAAACGAGTTTCTGCTTTGCAGGCAGCGTTTCCCTGATTGGGGCAACGAAGCTGGTTCTGGCCCAGGCTGCACGTGCAGAGTCCATCGCTCAGGAGACCAAACTCTCTCCCATTAAGAAATCAAGCACAGTTACTCTCTGATCTGATCGCCGACTGAAGCAGGGCTCCACGCAGCTCCAGAGCAGGGTTTTGCAGGCCAACCTCTTCCCCAAAGATGGCACCAGCTGTGCTCGAGGGCATCAGAGCTTTCCAGGATGAGCGTCCGGAAGTGCAAAGCGCAGCGCTGCGGCACAGCGGGAGTCCGTGCTGCAAGCAAGGATCCCACATCCCACAAATGGGCCCATGCTGATATATCAGGAGCCAAACCCAGGCGTTTCTGCCCAGATTGCAAAACCTCCGGGGCACGATGTCCCGCTTACCTCCCCCAAAGCAGGCGTCGGTGCCACGTGGCGAGCAGCAGCCAGCCCTGCCGCTGCAGGGGGATGTAGGGCATCCTGCCAGCCAGCCGGCGTCTTTGGCAACCCCGAGCCCGAACCGGAGCTGAAACAGAGCCGAGGAGGTCATGCTCCTGCTCCAGCACCGGCTCTGCCAGTGCCTGGAGACGGCGCTTTCCATTCCTTCCCTAACTGCAACACACTCCATCACCGGCGAGGCAGCCGCGCCACCAACGCTGGGGAACTCCTGCTGCCCTCCGCGGGAAATTCATGCAGCCCAACGGCTGGGAAGGGCCCAGCCGGGCTTTCAGGACTGGGCCGCAGCTAGTCCTCACGGGCTGCACTCGGAGCGAAAGCGGGGTCAAGCCACCATCTGGAAACCACCAAAAGCACCTTCCTCTCCCCTGCCTGGGCCCTGGCCAGCTGGCACACAACGCCAGGAAGGCACGGCCGAGGTGCGGGCGACCCGCGCTTTGCAGGCTGACTTCTCGTGCAGCGGATGAGGAGCGCCCACACGAGCGGTCCTGCCACAAACTCCCATCCGGTGAATGGCAACAGCCGAAACAGCAACGGTTGCACCCCAGGCCGGAGCACGGACCTGCTCTCCAGCCTCCTGCAGCCCAGCCTGCGGAGGACCAGCCGGACCCCTCGGCCCCACGAGCCTCCTGCAGCTCAGCGGACCCATCCTTCCCTTCTGCAGTGACCTGGCCCAGGTGGTGCAGAGCCACCTCTGAAATGCTGCTTGCAGGGCTTCCCATGACGGGAGCGCAACAGCTCTGATGGGACACCTGTGCCGAGCCTCTCCCAGAGCCGATTCTGCACCATCCACACAGGATTATCCGCGAGATGGCACAACTCCCTTTGAGAGCAAACTCCCTCAACCCGAGGATCTAAGCTCCTGAGCTGGATGTTGCCCTTTAGTTTAGCACTGACTCATCCCCGAGGCAGTTTGGACAGGCCTCAGATGGGGGAAGAAACCCCCGGCTGCGGCCAGCACGGCTGGGGCTCAGGGCAGGGACAGCCCTTGTGCTGTTCGTTACGGAGAGGGGGATGTTCCCAAGGGACACCACCACATCCCAGCTCAAGGAGCACTCTCGGGAGCCCATGGTGAAAATAAAAGAGTCTTCAATGTGTTCCCAAGTACATCTGAAGCCTGCAACCCTCAGCTGCTCCAGGTCTGCACCGAGCGCTGAAATGGGGCTAGTCAGGGCCACTAAAATCAGCTACTCTCATCTCAATCTGGAGCCTGGGGTGGGAGGTTTTTTTCTAAAAAAAAAAAAAAAAAAAAAAAAAGTCACACTCAATCCAACCTAGCTTTGAGAGGACCCTGGGAGCAGCTCAAGGGTGAGACACTTGGTGGCAAGAAGGAAAGAGCTGAGTTTTCACTTCACCTCCAGCCCTCTGACCTGCCCAGGGACGGACTCCGTGCTGAAAGCAACTGGGAACGCATATGACCTCTCACAGAGACCACAGCCTTGCGGTTCTCAAAAGCGACCAGGCAAATGAAGAAAACCGCTTTCTTTCCAGTGCCTTTCCTTGCAGACTTCCCTCGTGTCCCGCTCCCACAGGCCGTGCACAGAGGGGGGTCACAGCAGAGGTGTTTCTACCTCCTCTGCTGCCCAGGTGAGGTGCCGAGTTCCCACCTGCTCTTTTGCAGAGGTTAAAGCAGACTCAGGTTCACGACCTTCTCCGGAGCTAGCGCACCCATGCAGACCTGGCACCCAGTCACCACAGGGCTGCCACGAGCTCCCAGGTGCACCCATAACCACAGCCCTGCGTCATCCTGGAGGAAGAGCCCTGTCGCACTTCTCTGCAAGCAACCGTCCCTATCACACCTTCCACAGCAGCTCGGAGGCTCCAGCACCGTCCCTTCAGCCTGTGGCCTCGCAACATGGGCTGCGCTCCCAAACCTTGCTCCGCTCCTCAGCACGTCACGGGTGCACCACGCAACGCACCTCTAGCTGCGGGTCCCAACCTGCCACCCGCCCGACGTGGCGAGGAGGTGGCATCGACAAGCGCTTCTCCTCCCCACCTACCCCCTGCGCCACTCCGATCCCAGCAGATGCTCTTCCCACCCGTGGGAGATTAAAATGGCTTTCCCAAGAAGCAAAGTTCTCTGCTTTGTCACCCAGGAGACGTTTCCAGCTTAAAGGACAGATGTGGTCTCAAGCTGGAAGACACCGTGGAGATGCACAAGGACTATAACCCTCAGGCATTTGTGGGATTTGCTACCAAAGTATAGCCCCTTCCCAGGCCATTTCGCCCTGCAGAGAACTTTGCTTTTCCCCAAGGAGGCTTCAAAAGCCATGGTGGTACCTCGGTGAGGGTGGATGGGAAGGCCACCTCATGCAGGTGGAACTGGGGGACGCACTGGAAGGTGACCGTGAGCACGACGCCCAGGCAGCCCAGGTGCAGGCGGGCAGCCTGGAAGACGTCCGCGTTGACCGACTCCGAGCACTCCAGGATCTCCCCCGAAGCCGTCAGCAGTGTCAACGCCACGACCTGACGAGAGGAGAGGAAAGCGTCATCCCCAAGAGCATGCCCTGCCAGGGAACTGTCTTCTCTTTCCCCTTCATGCAGAGAAAAAAAAAAATCAGACAGTATCGGAAAAACAGAAGTATAAAAGAGTATAAAATAGGGCAGTGCTAATTGATCTTGAATGCCTCTTAGGAGTTGCTCCAGATCTATGTCCCACACCCTGAGGAATGCAATCAGCTGGAAAACCCCAGGCCCCTCTGAACCTGCTGCTGGGAAGGGCCTCAGGTCCCATTTCCACGCTGCGCTGGGTCCCTGCAACCCCCAACCATGGGGTTGAGGGCTGAGCAGGGAGACCCTGACACCATGACCAGCATCACAGGGGGCTTTCAGATGAGCTGGGCTCCACCAGCCCCTCTCTCTCCTCCCACCATGGATTTTCCAGCATAAAAGGATCCTTCTCTCTCTGGTAGATGCTAGGAAGAGCCATCAATTAAAGAAGCAAATCTCCCCCAAACTTTTTCACTTCTCTGTAGTCATAAGTGGAATCGCCATGCAGGATTTGAGTTCAGATTGAAGGATTTTCATAACTATTTAAAAACAGACCTGAGCTCCAAAGAGATTTGGTTTCAGGGGGAGCTCGGTTACGAGAAGAAATGGTTTTCTTTTGATACAGAGGCTATTCATCGGGTTATAAGACAAAAAGCCCAGGGACAGGCGTTTTGGGGCTGGAACGCCTTGGCTGGCTGATGAAGTTTTGCAAGACATCAGCAGACCCAGGTTACTCTGACCCTTCACTCCCCATCGGGGATTAATCCAGCCAGCAACCAAGGGGCCAAGGGCTGGCGTTAGGCAGGAGCATAAAGCACTGGCAATGCTGCATGGGGTGCACGACCGCACGTGGCTTCCAGCGTGCACGTGGGGCAAGCCAGGCTGGCCGAGGTCCTCCATCAACCCCAGGGCCGGGTGCCCCAGCGTTTTGATCGTGCGCTGGGACATCTGCCTCGCAGGGCAGACGCCGAGGTCGATGCATCGATGTGCACCCCGACACGCATCCCTGCACCAAGACGAGGAGCAGCCCGGTGGTCCTGGCCTTACCTGGGTGGGGAGGATGCCGTGCTCAATGCCGGTGTTGTGGGTCCCCGTGCCGATCACCCCGGCCGCTGCCACCTCGGAAACGGCACCCAAGCTGCGGGCAGACGAGTGGGCTGGGTGAGGATCCCGCTACGTGAGGTCTGCACCGGGGGCGACCTGGGGGACAACTCTCCAGCCACGTGGGCAAGGCAGGAGGTGGAAGCAAACGGAGCAATTTGCTCCAATGCCCTTCCTGCTTCCAGTGGCAGATGTTCAGAGACTTCCTGAACCAGACGGGGTTTCGGTGTCCGTTGCAACCTTCTCAGCAGATTTCTCTGCTGTAAACCCGTCTGCTCACCCCAAAGTGCCCTGAGCTGCCTGCTCAGGTAGGGTTTCTCCTTCCAAACCCTCATCCCAGCTTTGGCCAGGCCTCTAACAAGCTGATCGCTCATATGACCAAGGAACACGTAGCACTGAGCTAGCCTGCAATTAAAGAGTGTTTCTTTCCCCTGGGATGAGCAAACATATGAGAAAGCGTGCGAGAAAGGCCTTCCTTCCACAGCTGCCGTTCCCTTTGCAAAGCCCTTGCCAAATGCATCTCCGAGCCCCTTGGGAGATGCCCCCAGCGAAGGAGGATCAGGTGGGTTCAAGGCTGCAGGAGGCTGTGATCCGCTCGGGGACAGCACAGGGACCCACTGCCTGTCACTCCCACCCCCAGTGACAACAGGCATCCCAAAGCAACGCTGAGCAAAGGCCCTCCCACGCCTCTCGCTAACTCTTTCCAGTGGCTAATTACCCTTTGCCATTAAAGAAACTCATTTCGAGCCTGATTTCATCTGCCGTCAGCCTGCTTTTACTGCCAGATAAAGAGCTGTCTGCTGTCAGCCTCTGCCTCGTGCAATGCATCCCGAGGAGGGCCAGGGCCAGGAAGAGCAAAGCTTTCATTTGTGACAAAAAAAGCACCGGCCTGGTGGGTGCAGTGGGGTCGGTACAGGGATGAAGGCTCCCTCACCCAGCCCCCGGCTCCGAGGCAGGACCAGCTATCCCATCCGGTGGTTTTGACCTGTGGTCTGCACACCCCCCCAGTGAATGACCAAATCCTGAAGTTAACACCCCTATTTTGCAGTAAAAGCTCCTCAAACGTTTGTGTGTTGCCATGTCCCAGCACGTAGCATGGGGCAATGGTGGACAACCGGGGGAAAGCCAAGAAAGGGCCCCAGGGACACGTCTCACTCACTTGGCCAGGGCCAGCCCGTGCTTGCTCAGCTCGACATTCAGATCCGAGAGGAAAATCCCACCTTCCACCGTCACTTGCTGCTTCTCCTTATCCACCTGCCAAGGATCGGATGCAAAATGGGAGGGCAAGTTCACAGAGCTCAGCAGGGAAGAGGCCCATGCACAAGTGCATTTGCTCAGCAGATAACATTTATCCAGGAGAGCTGGGCACCGTGCGGCATTGCTCCATCTGGAGCTGCCACCCCTCTCCAACCCTAACCTGTCTCCACAGTACGCTGCACATCGCTAACATCCACAGTACGCTGCACATCATGCAACGCAAGAGCTGCACGTTCTCCTAATGGACCAAACGTGCGAGATGGGAACAGGCTCCCCCAGCAAAGCTCTGCCCCTCGCCTTGCTTGGCCAACTTTGGTCAGCTCCTGCTGCAAGGGCTGCTCATCAGGAGCTATTCATCCCACTTCTGACAGACAGAGCTGTCAAGGAAGGAGCTGTTCTTTAATCACTTATTGCTGTTAATTACCATTAATGACCTAGCTCTCAGGATTTACTGCTGCAGTCCGGAGCACTTCATCTTCACTATGCACATGTTCGTACACGCATACAAGTGCACCTTACATAAAAAACACATGCATGCATATGCACAAACATGTGTGCACACACGTGTGTGTGCGCACAGCCACACACACAACACGCGGGCAGTCCTCTCAGTGCATTTTTAACTGCCCAGCCGTGCAGCCCCAGTAAGGGCCCAGTCTCTCCCCGCACCCTGGATGCAAACCAGGGCACCAGAAAACCCCTCACTCCCAGCAGCTCTCCTTCTCCACCAGCTGGTTAGCATACGATCCAAAGGCAACCAGCAAGAGCTTTCTCCTGCACAGTGTCAAGCATAGGAAACTGGAATGGACCAGTTCTCCTCCCTGCCGTGGGGACATTTCCCACTGTACACAGGAAGAAACCACAGACCACGGACATCCACATGAAACGCTCCGCCAGGCCTTTGCTAGGCCACTGTTCTTTAAGGCACATTTGCATGTTTGCATTAAGCCACATTGCATTTCCCAGAGCATCCTGAGAAAGGTAGTCCTGCCAGATATCTCCTCTTCATCCATGCTGTGATAAGGGCATCATGCAAAGGTTAAGCCCTTCCACCTACACCAGCAAAGACTAAGCTCAGTAGGATCTACAGAGATGAAAAAACAGGATCCTCAAGACAGGCACCATCTCTTCCCATCTCAAGAGGATCCTTCATCTCAAGGGGGAACATTACCACTGCTTCTCCTCTCCACGCTCCACTCCAGCACCTGTCCTAAAAAACTCTGCTCTGAGGGGCAGGGGCTGTGGGTTATGGCCACATGGACCATGTTCCTCATCAAACGCACACTGGCAAGACATCACTTCATTGCATTTTTATAGCTGCTCCCTCTACTTCCAAAGCGATCCTTTTTGCACAGGGGAAAAAATAAATCTCCAGTCTTGCACTAGCATTTCAGCATTTGGTTTGGGGAAAAACCCTGGCTCTGAGGAGAAGAAAGCCTCCCCGTCCCTTCTTCCCCCACTCCAGCTATGATGATGGTGGTGCAATGCCTCCCAGTCTGCAGTGGCCGCAGGCAGGAGTGCCACCGCGTTTCCAGAAGCAGAGCTCACCTTGAGGATCCTGTTCATCTTCCCCATCTGGATCATGAAGTCATCGGTGCAGGCAATGTCTGAAGGGGAGTGGCCACCCCCCACCACCTTCACCCTCTTGGCCCTCTGCCTGGCCATATCCAGGATCTGCAGAGACAACACAAGGCCCTGAATGCCCAGCATCCCTCTCAAAGCCGTGTGCTGAAGGAGGCGCCAGAGGGACTGAGACTTGGGGATCTTGGGTTTCTCTTGCAGGCTTTTAGCCCTCTAGTGATTAATCCTGTCTAATCCCTCAGGCTCTTTCTGCAGTCAAGCGTGAGAGACTAATGTCTCAAGCGGATAACAAATTCCACCCATCTTTGGCACCTGCTTTACACCCATCGCCTGGGGCTAAAACCACTGCTGGAGGCCAGACATCTCCTAACACAGCCATTAGGATCAGCCCAGAAGAGGTGATGCCCATCCGAGACACCCCTGAGTGACCAAAGCATCCCCAGGGCTGACGGAAGTGACACAGGACTTGCAAGAAACTTCCCAGGCACCATCAGAATTTCCCTGGAGATGCCCAAATTTCCCTGGGTTAAACCCTGCCCCTAACGCAGGGATGGGATGTTGGTTTTCTGCACCTTTCAGACGTTTGACACATCTGCTAGAGCACCTGTTGAGAGGCGGTTTGGTAGGATGGACCATATCCTGCGGCTGAGGGAAGGCCTGATGGTGTAGTCATCACTGGTCTTCAAGACTGAATGCGATGGAGCAGCAGAGCCCTTCCTGGCCTTTCTTTCTCTTGATTTCTAATTTCTCTTCGTTTCCTGCAAACGCCTGCCTTACCTCTCGGATCTCCTCCACTGACGTAGGCTGGAAGTACAGCTCTGGAGAGGAGCCATAAGTCTTGGCCCAGTTCTGGAACTTGACTCCTCCTTGGCCGTGAACCTAGGTCAAAAACAAGAGTTAAAGCAGAGGAAAGGAAACACTTGCCCTGATTTTCTGCACAGGCCATCTTTTGTCTGTCAAATCCACTGCCCCAGGGAGCCTTGGAGAGCCAGATTTCCAAAGGGATTAGACATTTATGGACACAGATGGTTCATCTCTCCCTCTTTAAACCCTAGAGCAGAGGTGTTTCCATCTGAGGAAGAGAGCTTGGGCTCTCTTTGAAGTCAGTAGGGAGAAGCGGGAAGATTCCCCGATCCGGGTGAGACATCTCCTGGAAAGAGCCCATCCCTTCCTTCATATGCTGGGGTCTAACCATGCCCTCTCAGCTCACACGGACTCCTCTGCCCTGCTCTGGTCTCTGCTCAGACCCCCGTCTCAGCACCCATACCTAGGCCGTGTCCCACAGACACGGCCTCCTGACCCAGTGTCCCCAGATGGCCTCACCATGAGGCTCTGATTGCAACCTCCCTCCAACCTCAGCCCTCAACCCAAGCTGCTGCCCCCAGGCCTGGCATGGAGGGGCCAAAGCGCCCGGCCCCAACCGAACCCCAGGGCAGGAGTGAGAGTTACCTTGGGGCATCGCTGGGGAAATTTGGGAAGGCCTTGGTTTTGGGGTGAAGGGATGGATTTCCTGGGTAGGGCTTGAGGCAAGGAAGGACCTGGCACGGATTGAGGCACCGAGCCCCCAGAGCAGGGGGTGAACAATCCCCTCCGCCCCCAGGCAGGTCCGGCTCCCACGCGCTCCCCACCGACCTGCATCCCACTGGCTCCCATCACAGGGCGGGCGAGGGGAGCGGCTCGATCCCCTTCCTCAGCACCCTGCCCGGGATGGGGTGGGGGGGGAGGGAAAGACCAGCAGCTTTGGAGCCCCCAGGGCAGGGGGGAGGTCGGGGCTGCCTCGCTGCCCGACACGGATCCCTTCCCCCCCCCCCCCCCACCACCACGGTT